CTCATCTTATACGTGAGCAACATGACTCGTGGTGAAGCTATACTGAAAAATTGGCCAACAGTAAAGACTTTAGCAAAAATCATGGGCCATGCTAAAAACACATGGTCAAGACACATGGCCATGCCAAAAACACATAGGAAAAGGCATGGTCATGCAAAAAATGCACGGTCTTATGGCAAGCACATGAGCAGTTAATAAAAAAAGGGATGTTGCCACACTTTTTAGGGGGACGATTTTTGGAGCTTTCTCTGGCGATTTTGGGGGATTTTTGGGAATTCTTGAAGGCTACTAATCATTGCAAACACTTTTGATTTCATTTTGTAAGCATTAAACATTTCCAATTTCATATTTCTTATTGATTGATTTGTTCTTAGCCATGTGTGGCTAAGAAACCTTAATTTCTAGTTCTTGTTCAAAACATGTTGATTGCTTGACTTGAACCATATGATTTGATGTTTGATTTGTGATTCTATTCCAGTGATTATGTTTTTGTTTAAACTAGAATCCTTGAATTTGATTTGTGTTTGATTAGCCACTTTCATGAATTGAATTTTTGTGTAGTTAATTAACTTTTAGGGCACCTAATCGCTCTATTAAGTTAATAATTGGTAACAAACAATAAGTTTTCTTATTGTAAAACATATATCACATGTTTTCACACTTCCGAGCGTATGAGAAAAAATGAACATTGTTGGGAAGCTTGTACAAAACTTATCAACCTCCTTGTCCTCCTGAAACCCTAAATCGAGTTGTGGGCCTCTTGTTGGGAATCTTGCGGTTTTGAGTGGATTTTTGTGTGCTTTTGGTGCTTGGTGAGGGTTTGGAAGAGCTTGGAGTTGTTTAACTTGGAAGGAAGCTTTGGGATCCAAAATCTATCACACTTGTGGAAACCATTCGAGGTAAAAAGTCTGGAACTTGGTGATTAATAGTTTAGATCTTATCATTTGGGTTTTATTGTGATTTTGGCCTCCTTTTTGAGTTTATGGATAAGATAGGTGGTGTAAAGGTTCATCCCTTCAGATCTGAGTTTATTTTGCTACCCTTGAGCTTAAAGGTGCAAACTTTAAGAGGATCTTGATGTCATGCATGCATTAAGTCAAGTGTTAAGTTCATTGGAAGCTTAAGAGCTTCATCTAGACGTGCATGGACGTAAAGTTAGCAACTTTACGTGTTTTTCCAGCTCAAGGAAGTCAGATCTATGCTTTGTGGCCATGCCTTTATGGATTAGGTACTTAATGAATTAAGCTGCTGGACTTTGAGCGAACTCGGCGAGTTTATGGATAAACTCGACGAGTTGACTCAGTTTTCCCTGATATTTTCATATTAATAGAGGAACTCGACGAGTTGGTGAGTAAAATCGGCGAGTTGACTTGGGTTTTCTCGATCTGTGCAGATTGATGGAGAAACTCGACGAGTTGAAGGACAACTCGGCGAGTTGGGTCGACTTGGACCCTTGACTTTGACTTTTGACTTATGTCTTTGACCAAGTTTGTCCTAAGGGGTGTTTGTGGTAACCTGATTTGGATTTAAGGAAAAAATGGGCTTAGGATAAGACCCATATGAGGTTGGGCCCAATTTGGAAGATTGGGACATTAGTGGGCCTTTGTGGATCTTTTGGTTTGGGCCTCAGTTTTGGTGCATGTTGGGTCAGGGGTAAAATGACAATGGTCATTTTACCCCAACTATGGATTATGGATTATGGCATGGAACCCAACTGCTAATTGGGTGTGTTGATTGGTATTGATAGCTCGGGAAGCCGACATGGCAGCAGTTAGGGATTTCTTCCGAGGAGCTTCTGCATTCGAGGTGAGTTCTTCTCACTGTACTTTTGGGTTTAAGGCACCAAGGCCATCCTATTGGATTAGATATCATATTATATGGTAGTGTGTTATTGTTCAATAGTGATCTGTTAGATCGGTATCCTGGTCTATAGGATGATGCTATGAGTAATGATCTGTTGACCTGCCTGTCTGTCTGTAGATTGTCTACATGTTTATCTGTTATATGTCGGCATATTGTGCTGGATTGAGCTTGTATTGCTTCGTGTTGTAGCCAACAAACCCTGAAGCATTCCAGATATGAGCTGAAGACCGGGTAGGGCATGCCAGATTCATACTGAGGGCTCAATAGCATTCCAGATACGAGCTGAGGACCCGGTAGGTATGTCCGACTCGTACTTAGGGCTTGAGGGTATTGGAGCAATCCAGATATGAGCTGAGGGTCGGGTAGGGCATGCCAAACTCATACCGAGGGCTCAATAGCATTCCAGATACGAGCTGAGGACCCGGTAGGTATGTCAAACTCGTACTAAGGGCTTGTGGGTATTAGAGCAATCCAGATATGAGCTGAGGGTCGGGTAGGGCATGTCAGACTCATACTGTGGGCTCAGGGGTAATACAGTCTTTTAGCTGTGGACCCATTGCGTGCTGCTATTTGTATATGTTATATGTTTGGGTGTTGGTACTTTGGGGGAAACTCACTAAGCTTCGTGCTTACAGTTTTGGTTTATGGTTTCAGGTACTTCAGTGTATCGTGGCAAGGTGAAGGCGTGACCGTACACATCCTCGCGTTTTGAACTGATGATTTCTAGGAAACTCTGATAATGTGAATGTTTTGAAAACTATGTTGAAAGAGATTATGATTTTTAAATAATGTTTTGGGAACAAAGGTTTTTTTTGTAAACACTTCTATTTCAAAAGGGTTGTTTTGAAAAGTTTAAATTTTATGAAATTTTTATGGATGTTACACCTATTATCTGTTGGGTTTGACACGCCTAATAGACGCATCTTACCGAGAAAGACTCATTTCTTAATGCAAATCAAACAGTCTTTCCGACCCATTTAGCCAAAAAAATTTATTTGGACCTGGAAAGATGACAATCAAACGGGGCTTGAGTCTCCTTTATTCTTTGGTTGTCCATCCCAACTTTTGCTCTTTCACCATACTTAGTCTTCTTATGAGTGTCATTACTTTTACTTTGAGCCTCACTTTCACTTTTCTCTTACCACTTTGGTCACCCTCTTTTTCCTTATCGCTTTCACCTAAGGTCTTCTTAATCTCTCTTGCATTTCTCATTGCAGGATCCAAATTAGTCGGAATCCCAAAGTTTAACTTGAAATCCCATGTTAGTCCATGTTTGTAGCAATCAACTTTTGATTAATCATCGGATGCGAATCTTCTTGCAAAACTCGATTAGTTTTTAACTAAACACGTTTTCTAAATTTTCTATTTGAAATTAAAAATGATAACTAATCTTTTTTTTTTTTGAAAACTGAAAACGAAAAACAATCATCATAGCCATATCAATTTTCATAGATTGTTGAAGATGTAGTTGCTTCAAAACTTAATGAATTAATAAAATAATATGTCACTGAAACCGTGAAACATTAGATGTATATGTAAAAAATAAAATATGAGAAATGCTAATATAAGTGACACCGAGTTACCGAGAGAGATGTTGAAAACTTAAAGTGTTAAATAATAAAATTGAATCAAAAGACTTATAGTCTCGCAGTATCAAAAGTTGGAAAATAAGTTATTCCCCTAAGGGATTATAGGTTCAAATCTTGTTTGAAATACTGATGTAGTTTAGGATTATATAAGAATCCGTTAAAAAATTAAAAAAGGATGTGGACATCACATGGTTTTATTGCAACGAAGTGTAGGCAACATGAGTCAACATGTTGGGTTATTAACGACCAACCACAAATAAAAGGATGCAAAGCCGAATGGAAGAGACTGCGCACACCAACATTTATCCGCAAACATCTCAACCATTTTGAAAAAAATAGAGAAATGCACGTACGAGCATTTTCACAAACACCTCTCAGATATTTTGTCAAAGATAATGAATTGAAAGGATAACAATTCTTTTTATTTTTTACCCAGTTAGTCACAGTTTTTTTAATACATTGAATTAATAATCTTATAAATTTGTTAAAAAAATTACCATTTTAACGGACATTTGTGGGTTTACTCGATTACCACTTGACGTAACATGCCATGTTGCTGCTCACTTGGATTTTTGTTGACATGACTTGTAAACATTTAACGGCTGATTTTTTTGTTCTTACACGTTGACCAATAATCTTACAAATTAATGCAAAAGAATATCATTATACCAATATGTATTTATACGAGAAGATACGAAAATACATATTGGGAGTATACATTATATAAAAAAGTGGTGAAATGATATTTTTGGAAAAATAAAAATACGCCTTGGCTCGGTGGTGGAGGGGAAACAAAACAAATTTTAGAGGTATACGATTTTTTGGCGCTGAGATCGCGTTTCTTTGATTCTTAAAAGTCCACACCAGGTTCTCATACATAATTCTTGCGAAGTTGGTTTCTGATGTAGGGCTGTCGGTCGTATTGAATTCGGTAGACAGAAATCTGGCATTCCCCTACCAATCTCTCTGTAAGTTTCCCCTGTACCTTCCGATTAAATACAGTCATCTCCATGTTCTAATGTCGATCCACTACATACCTACATAACTACATTTGATGAATCGAAATATTCGCACCAGAGCTTATGTACATGTGGAGTCAATATCTTAATTATCACGATTGTGTGTTTCGTGTGTGAATCCTCAAATCCGAATAGGAAATGATCCGTGAAAGTTTGAAAGGATATGATTCGTTGAGTTTCAGTTGGTTTCTCTAAATAATCAGCACTAGTCACTGAAATTTTTGCAATAGCAGTGTTAGATCATCATTCTACTGTCTGTCTTCTATGTGCGTTATTATGTCTGTACTGAATTCCTGGTATAAAGTTTGAAAGGAATGTACGCTATTCAGCACGTTTGAAAGGGCATGGTGTACCCCTGACTGAATTCTTCTACCTCCATTGCACTTTTAGAGTCTGGTCTCGAGTCTCGACCTTAAGTTCCAAAAATACTTTGAAGTAGATTTAAATTATTTGGCTAGGGATAAAAATGTATGAGTATATTAATCTATACCCAATAGTAAGATGGAATACTTTTTGTGAAAGAGAGATAGACTGTCATCACATAAGTTTTAAGGAAAATTCGATTTACAAAACACTAGTTTCACACAGTTCACTCAAGCACACAATGTATATGCAAAATAATACTGCATTCATCTCACTCTTCTACCTATACTTAAAAAAAGGGACACGTCTAACAATTGCTTCCTCCTAGGCTTGATCCTTAATCGAAATCAAAGGCCTTTTCCCCACATTCATCAAGCATGTAATGCGGTGAGTTCCATTTGAACCATTTATCACAGTTGCTTTTTTTCTTTCTTGGAAAATTTACATACTGATATGTCTTGCTAAGTAATCACTTGATCTTTCTCTTTTGGTGATGGTGGTTTTGAAGGAGAAGACTTACCAGTTATTGCTTTCTTCACCTTGGCGATTGAATGCTTAACTTTTGACCCAACACCTGACAATATATTATGAGATTTCTTAGGAGTCTTGACTTCAATGTCTTTCGATGCTTCTACCATAACCGGAGCATCAATCATTTGGTTATCTTCTTCATCCTCTTCTTCATTCTCTTCATCTGTTTTTGTTCCCTTCTCACCAGTTTCTTCTTTGTCTACTTGCTGATCTTTTGTCAGAGCTGTCTCTCTTTCTTCAATCAAGTTTTCAGCCACTGCTGTTTGAGACTTTTCTTTTTCATCACCCATTTTCTTCTCTTCTCCGAAAGCTTCACTGCTGCATTGTGATTCGGTTCCTGAAGATTTAGTGGCTTTTAAATCATCTGCCTCAGCAATCAATGGCTTTGTAGTTGGCCCCCCTTGCTCATTTGCCACATCTTTGTTTCCAGTTAAGAGCTTTCTCTCTATACTCTCATCTAGATGTGGTTTATTTGAGGACTGGTTATCCACAGTGCAAGCTGAACCTTCAGATGTTTGTATTTCCGGCTGAATTTTACTTATTTTTATAAGGTCATCTGTTACATGTTTCGGTGAAATCTCCAAGTCCTCTGTAGCTGTAGTACCAGGAGTCACAGGTGCATCAAGTTCCAAGGGTTCCTGCAAAATGATTACCAGTATATTAGTTGTGGGAATGGAAATATAGGAACAAAGGTTAACTGGGTTACAAAAGTGAATAAGGTGCATGAGAAGATTTTTAATTCTATCAAACCTTTTCAGTTGGAATTTCTCTCTCTATGTTTTCATCTACTTCTTTTTTCTGCACACTTTGAATATCAGAGCATTTTGCATTGTGCACGGCATCAACATTTATTGCTTCTGGTGTATAATCAAAGTCCTTCTCACGCTTTTGAACATCTATTACAGCAACTTCAGGTGTAATTTTCTCAATGGTAGTAGTAGTTTCTGGGTCATTTTTCTCTAGAAGCATCATGTGGGAAGCTTCCTGAACATTTCCTGGTAAATTTTCAGAAACTTTGCTACCCTCAGGGACTATTTCAGCAACCTCAGATGCAATTTCAAAAACTTCAGTTGGCTTTTCTTCAAGTTTGTGTATATCATCATAGCCTCTGCTCTCCTCATATCTAACTTCTATACCTTGCTCTGCAGGACTCGATATCGAATCAGAAGTGGTTTTCGTGAGGTCATCTGCTTGTGATTCGCTTAGTGTTTCTTTCTCCCTGCTTGCATCTTCTTCCAATGTCTTTTCTTCTGTCACCAAAATCTTTGGAAACTCTTCCTCTGTGAATTCTAGATTCTGATCCTTGTTGCTTATGCTGCTGTGCTCAACCTTTGTCTTATCTGTTTCCAGTACTAGTTCATTTGTTTGGTCTTCAACGGTTGAAGATGCAAGTTCTTCAGGTGGTACAATGGACACAAGTTTCTGTTACATGAAAAACAATCACAAAAATCTACATGATCAGTAGGTGAAGGTTAAATTTCCATTTGCATGTAATAATCTAAATGCCATTTATAATGATAAAACAACATGAAATCAGGCCATGTTAACAATGTCTTGTTAGCATAGGATCAGTATAGGGAGGCTTTAACCATGGGATAATCACGGTAATATTTTGTCATGGCCTAGTTTCTTTCAGGCTGGTTGTCATCCAGTGGTCTCAAATCGAATTAATAGAAGATGAAGTTAGGGTTATTTTTTTTACCATCAGGGCTTAATCTTTTTACCTTCTCACTTAATGACCCATCCACAAGTGTTTGACACGTGTCATTTGTTACTTCAGGATGTTCTTCCTCCATCTCCATCTTGAGAGTTGTTTCAGAAGTTTGTATTTCAGATATCAGTTCATCATCCTTTTCTTTCTTCTCAAACTCAAGATCAGGGGCTTCTGCAGACTGTATATTTTCTAGTTCTGTTGGGCTTTCTGCTTTCACTTCTTTGACTTCATTGTTTCCAGCTGGTATCGGCTTTGAGTATTCTATCTGTTAAAAGATATTTATCATTTTAATATCTGAATAAATGAAATCAATCTGATATTTTAGTATCCTTCTTGCTGTCTTTACTGACCTCATCAGCTAGGTCCTTTTGATTTAATGTCGATGTCTTATCGAGTTCTGGAGGACATATATCTTCCTCAGAAACATGTTCATCGACTTCATTTTTTTCCTCTTCTTTTTCAGTCTCCACTGCAACCTGCTCAATACATACAATGTTGTTATGTAAGCAGACGTTTTGGAGTACCTGGTGAACAGTGAACAAAAAAAAAGACATAATCGAGTGCTACTTTTGACTTACCTCGTCAGTCAAGATGATATTCTTGATTGTCTCATTTTGATTTTCTGTGTTGTAAATCTGATTTTCAGGTGCAAGTGTAACATCCTCTTCCATATCTCTTTTCTCATCTGCTAATTCCTTTTCACTTGTATGCTTAATGATGTTTTCAGAGGTGATGTCTGATTGTTCTGGTTCAGGTTTTGTTTCCTTAACCTCATCTTCTTCTATCACTGATTCAGATGTGGGTTTGATTACTTCAAGATCCTATTTTGCAACAAAAGAAGAAAAAAGAAAATTTAGATAGTATGATTGATAAGGCTTCTGTCTTAGGATAACAGCTGCATAAAAGGAATGGTGATAGTTCTTTATTTGTGGACGAACCTCTTTAATGAAAACTGCATCACGAGATGATATTGAAAGGTATTCTGCAACTTGCTTACTTTCTGATGTCTGTTTTCAGTAGCGTAAAGTATATTAAGTTTATTATGAGAGAAATATAAGAAAAAGAAGATGTATTATTCAAAACTCTTGAAAACTTTCTAACCTCTTCAGTTGAAATTTCATCGGTTCTAACCTCAGAGACCCCAACAGGTATTGGATCTGAATATGGTATCTACGTGAAAAAATGTCATGTTAAAACGTATACTCATACAGATATGAACAGAATACTAATCTCATCTTTCTGTTAATAGACTCACCACATGTGCCATTTCCTTTTGATCTTCTGTTGATTTCTCCTGAAGTTCTGTGGAATGACTATCTTCCTCAACAATCTGTTTCTTGAGGTCGTCTGTTTCCTTTTCCTTTGGTATATTTAAAGGCACCTGTTCAATTTATATAACATTCCTGTAAGCAGATCCCTTTGATGACTTGATAGATAAGAAAGTCTGGTGGTATTATTTCTTGCTCACCTCTTCATTCAAGATAACATCCTTTGACATCTCACCACAGTCTTCTGTGCTATTAAGCTGATTTTCTTGTGTAACATCCTCTTTCATATCTTCTTTTTCATACAATGAATCATCTGCACCAATTTCTGTTGTCTGTTCTGTTTTCTGCATCCATTAGTGTCAAAAGTATGTTAAGAAAACACAAAAAGAAATGCAATAAAAGGATGTGTGAACTGTAAAGACATTGTAATTCTATCTGACCTCATCACTTGAAGTTTCTTTTGTTACAGTTTCTTTCTCTTCATCCGCATATGTTGCTGTTGCTGATGTAAGACAGTCTTCTTTAAGGTTTGAATCTTCTGCCTTGGGCACTGATGAAGTTACTAATGAACTTGAGGGTACAATATCTTCTTGAGGTTCGACTTCTGTTGTTTCATTTGAATCCGTAGATTTTTCATTTGATACTTCATCCAGACCATCATTCTGTTGCTCAACAGGTTCAATCTCCCTTGTTCTTGCATCTTGAAAGCACTTTTCTTCTTTAGTTGTAGTGTCATTTGGATTCTCTATACTTTCATGGGATAAATATTCATCCTTTTTTGTGATTTCCTCTTCTATAGTTTCACTTATGGTTTCAGTTGGACCTGCCTGTATCTCCTCAACAATTTGTCCTTTAGGTTGATAAAGCTCTGACGACACCTGTTTAAAATATATTTTTTTAAACAATTTAATATAACAAACAACTGAATATCCAAGAAGGTTGAGCTATATCTGTTATAAAAGGAAGTCTTTTGAATATTCAATCTGTTAAAGATGATTTCCAACTTTGAATGAACAAATGAAAACATTTTGATGTTATAGTTCCCTTCTTCCCATGTCCACTGACCTCATCGATTAATTTCTTTTCATCTGATGTTGTTGTCTTTTCATCTGCTAAATCCTTTTCAGGCAAGATGACATTCTCCATGATGTTTTCAGGGGTGATGTCTGATTGTTCTGGTTGAGGCTTTGTTTCCTTAACCTGGTATTCTTCTATCACCATCTCAGACGTGGGTTTGAGTTCTCCATGTAGTTCTAGATTCTATTTTGCAAAAAATAAACCAAAAGAATTCAGATAGTTTTACTTTCCATATGACAACATAAGTGTTCATAATAGAGTGATTATATGTCAAGATGCATTAACATCAAAACTCTTGAAAATTTTCTAACCTCTGTACTTGAAGTTTCATTAGCTCTAACTTCATGTTCTTTCTCTCCATTGTTTTCATCTGTATACTCGGTTGTTGCTGAGACAATGCTCTCTTCTTTCACTTTTGAGTCTTCTGAATCAGCAACTACTTCAGGGGTTTGTACATCACAAACAGATTCAAGAGCCTGTTTGGGTGACTCATCGATTTCTGATGGATCTGAATATGATATCTGCTTAAAAAAAAATTCATGTTAACACATATTCATACAGCATGAACAAAATACTATTCTCATCTTTCTGTTAATAGACTAACCACAGGTGCCTTTTGATCTTCTGTTGATTTCTCGTGTAGCTCTGTGGAATTACTATATTCCTCAACAATCTGTTCTTCGAGGTCATCTGTTCCCTTTTCCTTTTGTGTCTCTAAAGGTACCTGTTCAATCTATATAACATTTATGTAAGCAGACCCCTTTGATGACTTGATAGATAAGTAAGTGGTTATATATTTATCGTATTCACCTCTTTAGTCAAGATGACATCCTTTGATATCTCACTGCAGTCTTCGGTGCTATTAAGTTGATTTTCTTGTGTAACATCCTCTTTTTCATACAGTGATTTGTTTTCACCAATTTCTGTTGTCTGCATCCATTAGTGTCAAAGTATGTCAATAAAGCACAAAAGAAATGCAAGAAAAAGATGTTGTGAACTGTAGGAACGTTTTTCTGTCTGACCTCTGCACTTGAAACTTCTTTTGTTTCTGTTTCTTTTTCTTCATCCACATGCGTTGCTGTTGTAAGACACTCTTCTTTCATGTTTGAATCTTCTGACTCGGGCCCCACTCCAGGGATTTGTACCTCAGAAACAGTTTCAAGATCTTCAAGGAAGATCTCTTTAGTCATTTCTGTCTGCTCCTGCCTCTCCTCAGTATTGGCCACTGTGGTAGCATGTTGTCCAATCGTTGTTTCTTTTATATCCTCACTGGATGCATTCTGTGAGCTTGTAACATCATCTCCACCATCTTGGACTTCTTCTGACATTTTGAGGTCTTTTTCTTTTTCTTGATTTTCCTCTTTGCTCACTGTTTCATCCTCATTCAATTCAGATTCAGCCTTTTCTAATCCTGTCACTTCATGGACTTCCTTAACCAGGGAGCTTTCAGACTTTTCTGTTTGACCATCATCATTGACTACATCCTCCTTTTTTTCTATGGTTTCAATACTAGATTTGATTTCTTCAGTGTCTTCCTCTATACTTTCTCTAGTTTCAAAAAATTCAGGTTCTTTACCTTCTTCTTGGTAGTTCTTTTTTTGCAAGTCTTCTTCTAATGCTGCAACCTGTGAGGTTGTTACATTATCCTCACCTTGACCTTCTGCCGACATGTTGACCTGATCCTTTTCTTGATCTTCATCTTTAAAAGTTTCTATTGCTTTTATCCCTTCTTCAGATTCAACCTTTTCCAAACTAGTCTCATCACATACCTCTTTGACAGAGTGGATGGGAGGCGTTTCCATCTGACCATCATCATGATCAATAGGCTCTTTGTTCTTTTCTTCGGTTTCTGTTGTCTCTTCTTGAGATTCCACTTGTGCTGATGTGAAAACATCAGTTGTGATGGCATGTGGCAACTCTTCTTTCTCTACTTTTTCCTCTGTTTCAACATTTGTGCTTATAAGTTCATTATCTTCCTCCATACTTTCTCTAGTTTCAAAAAATACGTCCTCAGAGGCTGCAACTGTATCCTGTGAGCATATAACTTCATCCTCACCTTGGTCTTTTTCTGGAATGTTGAGCTCTTGTTCCTTTTCTTGATATTCATCTTTGCTTAAAATTTCTATTTCTTTCTCATTCTGATACATATCAGAATTTATCCCTTCTTCAGATACAGTCTTCTTTAAGTCAGTCTCTTCACATACTTCCTGTTGCTCCTTTTCATCTGTTTCAACACTTGGTTTGATTTCTTCAGTATACTTCTCTTGCTCAAAAATTATGTTGGCACTTTCTTCGGGATTTTCTTCTATTTTATCTTTTGCTCCATTATCATCATCCTGCTCGCTTGCCTATATGAAGAGTATATTTTGAGTACATGGGGAGAATGGACGAAACAGAACTTGGTAAGTCTAATGTATAGTCAAAGTTTGTAAAACAATCTTTGTGACAGCTTAGTTTATTGGTCCCTTTTTCAAAAGAAAATTATGAGCAGCATTTGCTCTAAACTACTTTATAAAATGAGTTTCCCTAAGAATTTATCATTTTCATAAATATCCACAACTTGCTTTTCTTCTAGTTCTATACCCCCCTTCCAAACTGCATTGTTCAATTGAATAAACCAAGTTGTCTATTTGAAGTTACTCTTAATATGCTCTATAAAATATGTATTTTATCTTGTTTAGGGCCCTTAAAATGGTCTAATATATATATATATATATATATATATATATATATATATATATATTTGTAAGAGATACTTGAACTACCGAGTTGAACAACTTATGCATTTGTTACTTTCTCAAACACATGAGATGAGAGATTTTGTAGCAGACAACATAATGTCTTGATAATTTTAGCATTGCAAGTTTAGTTGGAATGATGTACAAGTAAAACCTTTTGGAATAATTAGAGATTACTTAAGATGAACATAAATTACCTCTCGAGCATGAATTGATTTGTCTTCTGTTTCTTCCTTGAGGATCTCTTTGGTCAATGCACTATCATCTTTGCTCTCCTCAAAATCAACCACTGTGGTAACATGTTGACCAATTGTTGACTCTTGTATATCCTCACACGTTGCATCTTCTGAACTTGTAACAGCATCCCCACCACCTTGGACCTCTTCTGGCATTTTGAGTTCATGTTCCTTTTCTTCATTTTCCTCTTTGCTCACTATCTCATTCTCATTCAATTCAGATTCAGCCTTCTCTGATCCTGTCACTTCACACACCTCCTTAACCAATGGGCTTTCAGACTTATCTGTTTGACCATCATTATTGACTATAGCATCTTCCTCAATCTTTTCTTCATTTTCCATAGTTTCTTCTTTAGGTTCTATTTCTGATGAGCTGCAAACATCAGTAGTAATGACATGCAGCAACCCTTGTTGCTCCATATTTTCTTTTGTTTCGATACTTGATTCGATTTCTTCAGTTTTTTCCTCTACACTTTCTCTCGTTTCAACAAATTCAGGTTCTTTACCTTCTTGGTAGTTCTTTTCTTGCAAGTCTTCTTCTAAGGCTGCAACCTGTGAGCTTGTTACATTATCCTCACCTTGACCTTCTGTTGATATGTCAACCTGATCCTTTTCTTGTTCTTCATCCTTGAAAGTTCCTATAGCTTTTACCTCTTCTTCAGATTCAACCTTTTTTGAGCTAGTCTCATCGGATACCTCCGTGGTAGTCTCCTCATAAACCTCCTTAATAGACTCTTTATTATTTTCTTCAGTTTCCATGGTCTCTTCTTGAGCATCACTTGATTTTTCCTCTGTTTCTTCCATAAGGATCTCTTTAGGCATTAAACTTATCGCCTGTCCCTCCTCTAAATAGGCCACTGTGGTCTCATGTTGACCAACTGTTGTTTCTTTTATATCCTCACACATTGCATCTTTTGAACTTGTAACATCATCCCCAAAACCTTTTCCTGACACATAAACCTCTTGTTCCTTTTCTTCATCTTCAACTGTGCTCGCTATTTCTTTCTCATTTGTTGTTTCTTTTACCTCTTCGCTATATTCAACTTTCTCTGTAGCGGACTCGTTGTATACTTCATTGACTGGGGAGCTGTCAACATTTTCCTTTTGACCATCATCACTCTGAATAGGCTCGTCACTTTTTACTTCATGTTCTTCACTTTCTACCTGAGATTCTGTTTGTGATGTGATGCAATCATCATGCAACAATTCTTTTTGCTCGGTTTCAACACTTGGTTTGATTTCTTCAGTATCTTCCTCTTGCTCAATTTCTGAACAAGTCTGTACAATTTTGCTGTCACTTTCCTCAGACTTTTGTTCCCTTTTGTCCTATTAGAGAAGAAATATTCAGTATATTGTATGAATGAAAGAAAAGAAATGATGATTTATATAAATTGGCTCAAAGCTTTTGAAAACAATCTTTGTGGTAGGTTTTTTTCATTGTTATTTTTTAAAATAAATGTGAGTGACAGTTGTCCTTAATAACATGATTCTGCATTGCTTAGTGATAAAACATTGCAAGTTTTAGTTGCAATGATGTACAACTAAAACCTTTTGGATTGTTTAGAGTTAACATTGGATGAACACAAATTACCTCATGAGCATCAATTATTGTTTCTTTTATATCCTTGCTGGATGCATTCTGCGAGTTTGTAACATCATCTCCACCACCTTGGATTTCTTCTGACATTTTAAGCTCTTGTTCCTTTTCTTGAATCTCCTCTTTGCTCACTATTTCATTCTCATTCAATTCAGATTCAGCCTTCTCAGATCCTGTTACTTCAGACACTTCCTTGACCAATGGGCTTTCAGACTTATCTGTTTGACCATCATCATTCACTGATGCCTCTTCATCAATCTTTATATCATCTTTTGTATCAACACTAGATTCGATTTCTTCAGTATCTTCCTCTATATACTCTCTAGGTTTGACAAATTCGGGTTCCTTACCTTCATCATCATATTTTGTTTCTGGTAAGTCCTCTATAGAGGAGGTTGCATCTTGTGAGAAAGTGACATCATCTTTTCCTTGGTCTTCTTCTGAAATGATGGACTCTTGTTCTTTTTCTTTTTCTTGATCTTCATCTTTGTCAGAAGGTTCTACCCCTTCAAATTTACCCTTCTCTAAGTGAGTTTCTTCACATACTTCAGTCACATCTTCTTCATCGTCTGTAATCTTCACTTGCTCCTTTTCATCTGTTTCCACACTTGGCTTGATTTCTTTGGTATCTTCAATTTTGTTGACAATTTCCTTGGGATTTTGTTCTATTTTTTCGTTTGCTCCACTCTCATACTGCTCGCTTGCCTACATGAAAACAAGTATTTTGAGTACATGTGGAAAATGAAAGTAACACATCATGATAAGTCTATGCATACTCAAAGTTTTAAAACAATCTTTGTGGCAGCTTCAAAAAAAATTTGTGAGCCAAAGTTGCTATAAACTACTTTATAGAATGGTTTTCTCTAAACATTTGGAGGAGACAAGCATTTGACATTAAAACTTTGTATGAAAATCATAATATTGTCTTATACTTTTATAGATTAAACATAGAACTAGTAAGAATTAGTCTTAAAATTTAACAATACATTAGTATAATATGTACTTTTGTTTCTCTTACACATGATATAAGAGATTATGTAGCAGACAACAACATTTCCATATTTCATAATGACTATAGCATTCAAGTTCTAGTTAGATTGATCCACAAGTAAAACTATAAAACGTTTTAGGAATAGGTAGGGTTTACTTAGAATGAACATGAATTACCTCTTGCACATCACTTGATTTGTCCTCTGCTTCTTCCTTAAGGATCTCCTTAGGCGTTGAGTTTAGAGCCTGTTCCTCCTCTAAATAGGCCACTGTAGTAACATGCTCACCAGTTGTTGTTTCTTTTATATCCTCAAATATTGCATCTTGTGAACTCGTAACATCATCCCCTAAACCTTTTCCTGACACATAAACCTCTTGTTCCTTTTCTTCCTCTTCAACTTTGCTTGCTATTTTGTTTTCATTCAGATCGATATTTACACTGTCAGAAAGTTTTAACCCTTCTTCAGATTCAATCTTCTCCGAGACAGTCTCTTCACATACTTCCTTCACCATGGTCTCTGTATTAGAACTATCAGAGTAGTTCACCTCTTCTTTATATTCAATTTTCTCTGAACTAGCCTCTTCACATACTTGTTGCTCGGTTTCAACACTTGGTTTGGTTTCTTCAGTATCTTTCTCTTGCTCAATTTCTGAACCAGACTGTACAATTTTGTTGTCACTTTCCTCAGACTTTTGTTCTTTTTTGTCCTATTAGAGAAGAAATATTCAGTATATTATACGACTGAAAGAAAAGAAATGATGATTTATATAAATAGGCTCAATGTTTTTAAAAACAATCTTTGTGGTAAGTTTTTTTCATTGTTATTCTATCAAATAAATGTGAGCGACAGTTGTACTTTATAACATGATTCTACATTGGTTAGTGATAAAAAAACATTTCAAGTTTTAGTTGGAATGATGTACAAGTAAAACCTTTTGGATTGTTTAAGAGTTAACATGGGATGAACACGATTTACCTCTTGAGCATCAATCACACTCTGATTTTGCTCCTCGAACTCGATATTAGCCACTGGGGTAGCCTGTTGACCAATTATTGCTTCTTTTATATCCTCACTGGATGCATTCTGTGAGCTTGTAACATCATCTCCACCACCTTGGACTTCTTCTGACATTTTAACCTCTTGTTCCTTTTCTTGATTTTCCTCTTTGCTCACTATTTCGTTCTCATTCAATTCAGATTCAGCCTTCTCTGAGCTTGTCGCTTCAGATACTTCCTTCACCAAGGGGCTTTCAGACTTCTTTGTTTGATCATCATCATTCACTAATGCCTCTTCATCAATCTTTATATCATCTTTTGTATCAGCACTAGATTTGATTTCTTCAGTATCTTCCTCTATATTCTCTCTAGGTTTGACAAATATGGGTAAGTCCTCTATAGAGGTTGCATCTTGTGAGCATGTGACAGCATCTTTTCCTTGGTTTTCTTCTGAAATGATGGACTCTTCTTCTTTTTCTTTTTCTTGATCTTTATCATTGTCAGAAGGTTCTACCCCTTCAAATTTACCCTTCTCTAAGTGACTTTCTGCACATACTTCAATCACATCTTCTTCATAGTCTGTAATCTTCACTTGCTCCTTTTCATCTATTTCCACACTTGGCTTGATTTCTTCAGTATCTTCAATTTTGTTGACAATTTCCTCAGGATTTTGTTCTATTTTTTCGTTTGCTCCACTCTCATACAGCTCGCTTGCCTACATGAAAACAAGTATTTTGAGTACATGTGGAGAATGAAAGTAACACATCATGATAAGTCTAATGCATAGTCAAACTTTTAAAACAATCTTTGTGGCAGCTTCAAAAAAAATTGTGAGCCAAAGTTGCTATAAATTACTTTATAGAATGGTTTTCTCTAAACATTTATCATTTTATGAAGTCTAACTCTTCTCAACAAATGAAAGTAAACCTTTGGAGGAGACAAGCATTTGACATTAAAATTATGTATGAAAATCATAATATTGTCTTATACTTTTATAAATTAAACATAGAAATAGTAAGAACTCTAACTCTTCACTTACTTGTTGCTCCGTTTCAACACTTGGTTTGATATCTTCAGTATCTTCCCCTTGCTCTGTTTCTGAAGAAGACTTTACACTTTTGTTTACAATTTCCTCAGGCTTTTGCTCACTTTTGTCCTCTGCCTCATTATCGCACTTCTCGCTTGCCTATTCGAGAAAATATTTTCAGCATACAGGAAGAATGAAAGAAAAGAAATGATGTTCTATACGAATAGGCTCAAAGTTTTTGAAAACAATCTGTGTGATGTTTCATTGTTCTTTCTTTAAACAAATTGTTAATGGAAGTTCTTCTTTATAACATGGTTTTTTTTAGGCATTTATCATTTTCTGGAACATCATGTTAGATTGGTATGACATGCGCTTCAGGCTCAACAATGGTGGAGGAGAAGAATATTTGACATTAAAACAGTGCACGAGGTTCATAAGATGAGTCTTATGGTTCAAGCATAGAGTTAGTAAGAAAAAGCAACAACATTTCCATATTCGTACATACTCTACAACTTAATATAAACTATGTCCAGAATTTGTGTATGTTATCTTGTTTAGGGCCTTTATAGGTATAATGTCTGCTTCTTAGTTTTTCTTTTTCATACACATGAGATAAGAAATTATGTAACAGACAACAACATTTCCATATTCCTTAAGAATAAGGCATTTCAAGTTCTAGTTGGATTGATCTACAAGTAAAACCTTTTTGGAATAGTTAGGGTTTACTTATAACGACTAATGAACATGAATTACCTCTTGAGCATCACTTGGTTTGTCCTCTGCTTCTTCCTTGAGGATCTCTTTAGGCATTGGACTTAGACTCTGTGCCTCCTCAAAATAAGCCACTTCGGTAGCGTGCTCATCAATCGTTGTTTCTTTTATATCCTCACATGTTGCATCTTGTGAACTTGTAACATCATCCCCATCACCTTGTCCTTTTCCTGAAACGTAAACCTCTTGTTCCTTTTCTTCATATGCTATTTCATTCTCATTCAAAGCGATATTGGAACTGTCATAAAATTGTAACCCTTCTTCAGATTCAACCTTCTCTAAGATAGTCTCTTCACTAGTTCTGATTTCTTCAATATCTTCCCCTATACTTTCTTTAGTTTTAACAACTTCAGGTTCATTACCTTCACTGTGGTGTTCTCTTTCTTTTAAGTCTCCTTCATAAGTTGCATCATGTGAGCTTGTAACAGTATCCTCACCTTGGTCTTTTTCTAATGTGTTGCCCTCTTGTTTCCTTTCTAGATCTTCATCTTTGCTTAAAATCGGTAGTGTTTTCTCGTTGATCTCTACATTAGAACTATCAGAATGTTTGACCTCTTCTTCATATTCAACTTTCTCTAAACTGGTCTCTTCATGTACAAATTTGTTGACATTTTCCTCAGACTTTTGTTCTCTTTCTTCCTTCGCTCCATTCTCACACTCCTCGCTTGCCTATTCGGTAAGTTTTTTTTTTTTTTTTCAGTATACAGGAATTATGAAAAAAAATGATGATTTATACGAATAGGCTCAAAGTTTATGAAATTAAACCTTTTGGAATAGTTAGAGATTACTTAAAATGAACATAAATTACCTCTTGAGCATCACTTGTTTTATGCTCCGCTTCTTCCCTGATTATCTCTTTAGTAATTGCACTCTGATCCTGCTCCTCAAACTCAATATTAGCCACTGGGGTAGTTTGTTGACCAATTATTGTTTCTTTTATATCCTCACTGGATGCATTCTGTGAGCTTATAACATCATCTCCACTACCTTGGACTTCTTCTGACATTTTGAGCTCTTGTTCCTTTTCTTGATTCTCCTCTTTGCTCACTATTTTATTCTTACTGAAACTTTCAAATTCTTTTTGTACTTCTTCAGGTTCACATACTTCATCAGCCTTTTCTTCATTTTCTTTTGTTTCGACACTAGATGAAATTGCTTCATTCTCATACTGCTCGCTTGCCTATATAAAGAAGTATCTTTAGTGAGTATGGAAGTAACAGAACTTGATAAGTCAATGTATAGTCAAATTACTTGGATTGAATTTGAACTACTTTATAAGACCTTATTCTCTAAGCATTTATCATTTTCTGAAGTATAGAATAGTTAAGAGATTACTTAGATTGACTTTGAACAGTTGAACTACCTCTTGAGCATCACTTGATTTGTCCTCTTGTTCCTTTTCTTCATCTTCAACTTTGCTTCCTATTTCATTCTCTTTCAGGGCAATATTGGAACTGTCCGAAAGCTGTAACCCTTCTTCATATCCAGTCTTCTCTGAAACAGTCTCTTCACTTACTTCTTTTACAATGGGGCTTTCAGACTTGATCTCTGTTAAAGAACTATCAGAATGTTTTACCTCTTCTTTATATTCAGCTTTTTGTAAACCGGTTTCTTCACTCTGAATTGCTTCATCATTTTTCATTTCATGTTCTGCACTTACTACATGAGGCTCTGGTTGTGATGTGATGCAATCATCAGGTATGAGTTCTGTTTTCTCCTCTGTTTCAACACTTGGTTTGATTTCTTCAGTATCTTCCTTTTGCTCAATCTCTGAAGAAGACTGTACAAATTTATCGACACTTTCTTCATGCTCTTGTTCTCTTTCTTCCTTTGCTCCATTCTCACACTTCTCACTTGCCTATTCAGGAAAAAACTATTTTCAGTATACGGGAATGATGAAAGAAAAAGAAATGATTACATATGTGAATAGTATTTGATTATCATTTTAGATTCAAGGAGAAGAGTATTTGATTATATGTTTACATGAGAATCATAGTATGGTCTTATGGGATTAAGCATACAAGTAAAAATTCACAGCTTCGTAGATCTCTACATGTTCAATGTCAAAAAATCGAGTTGTATCTCTTCTTGTAGATGCTTTTGTTATGCCTAGATTTTCCAACTATCATGGAGTTCAACAACTTATACACTTACTAATTTCTCATACACATACACATTATGATGTACAATTAAAACCTTTTGGAATGGTTAGAGATTACTTAGATTGGAGATGAATTACCTCTTGAGGATCAATTCTTATGTCCTCTACTTCTTCTTCCTTGGGGATATCTTTAGGTGCTGCATTCAAAGTCTGCCCCTCTTCGACATAAGCCACTGTGGTAGCATGTTGAAAGGTCGTTCCTTCAACATCATCTTCTATATGTTCTTTAGTTTTAACAGCATTACCTTCACTGTGGTAGCTTTTTTCTTGTAAGCCTCCTTCAAATGTTGCGTCCTTTATACCATCATCACTTTCTATCTGAGGTTCTGTTTTCACTGCGATGCTATCCTTTTTCTCATCTGGTTCAACATTTGGTTTGATTTCTTCAGTATCTTCCTCTTGCTTAATTTCTGAACAAGACTCTACACTTCCCTCAGTTTTTTGCTCTCTTTGGTCCTATTCAAGAAAAACGTTTTCAGTATACGGGAAGAATGAAAGAAAAGAAATGATAAAGTTGTTTGCATAAGTTGGGAAATTGTTGCATAATAATAAGCATTTATGAAATGAAACATGGTTTGAAACCAAATTTGTTGCATATATGCACAATTAACCCTAGTTAGAAATTTACTTAGGTAGAAGTAGAACATTAATTACTAACCTCTTGTGAATTAATAGACTTGTCCTCCTCTGTTTCTTCTTTAGAGGCAACAATCTGGACACTATGATCATGAAATGGTTTGGCTTCTTGAATCTCTGTAGACTTTCTTTCTTCCTGATCTTCTGTAGTGGCAGCCTTGCAACTTTCTGTTGTGCCTTCATCAGCACTGACAATGGGTACTGAGTGTGCTTGGAAAAAAGTTTCACTCTCAGTTTCCAGTTGTTCTGTATTTACAGTATCTGCCACTTCAAGTTGCTTCACTTTGTTACCAGAAAATTCTGCAATTTTTTCTTCCAAAATTTCACTTGACAAACCGTAATCTTCCCTTTCATCTTTCTGCAGGAAAATCAGTCATTAAATATAGAGGTGTGCCTAATGGACTGAATCCGATGGAATTGGAATTCTAAATTCCATTCCATGGCATGTTGGACTGAATTCAGTTCCATCATCCTTCAAATTTCATGTTTGACGGATTTTTACCGTCTTTTAGAGGAGGGTGGAAGGAATTCAATTTCGTTTTTCATTTTTATAATAAAAGACCAAAATACCCTTGTATAATATGTTGTAATAATTAAAAGTAAGAAATCCAATTATATATTTTCACAATAAACAAAAAAGATTTAAAATTACTTAATATTTATGATCGAATTACATTTCATTTCCTGCCAACCAAAAACGTGATTGATTATGATTCCTATTCCTTTGATAGATTTCAATTCCTTCGACTGATTCCATTCCTTCAAAAAACATTCTCGGAACCAATATTGTTGTTTTCGAAAACTTAGTTCTAATTTGTTAATCCAACTTTTCAGTTTTCTTTTCTTTAATCTTTTTCTTTTTTAACTGGATTGCTTTATGAAATGCATACATGGCGATCTTACAATTGAAGCAATCGACACTTATGTACTTTGGTATCAGTCTTATGATGCCAAAAATAATTAAAACTTTAAAGTTTATTACTAAACAAATCTCTGATCTTTCTATGCAACTGATTCATACTCCTGCATACTTTTCAACTATGATCAGACTTACTCCAACAGCATCAGGTAAATCAAATCCACAGATTATACCTCATAATACTAAAACTAAATCACAAATATTACTAGTGATTCACACATCATATAAAGCAAAAAGAAATAAGATATAAAGTTATGATCACTAACCTTTGAGGATAAAAAATCTGGAATATCAATTTCGGTTGCTGCCATTGATCATATACAGTCAAAGCAAAATCTCACAGTTTAATTCTGTGAGATAATGACTGAAATGTTTTGGTATGTTTTTATTTTGAGATATGCCTACAGCTTTCAAAACTTCATGCTATATATATCTAAAACATATGGTCCCTTGATTAAACCTCTTGAGAAAGTGGGTAGTAAATGACAAAAATGCCACTTGGACATTGCTTTTAGTACATTTTGTAGTAGGCCAGGTATCCCATGGTACTGAATGATATATCATAATATATATATCACATGCTCATCCAGCCTAATACACAGATTTTAATCCAAGCTGTTATATGCTTCTTGGAAATAATCACTAGTAGTACAAGGGTATTTTTGTCAATCTACACACTATATAAGTTAATGAAACGTAGACGTAGAAATAGAGTCGCTTTAGTGGTCCATGGTTGTTATCTTATCGGCTAGAAAGAATATTCATAGAATTATTGCGGGTGGAATTGGTATTATTGATCAGCTTCCTCATTGGTCAAAACAACATTTATGATAATATTTACGACTTTATTAACAACAAAAACAGTCATTACATTATATTTTTCTACCGCTGTGAAAAACTTAAGAAAAGCGGTAGGGTGATGATGATTATGGTAGACATGAGTAAGGTGTGGTAATGGCCTTTAAAAAAAAGTCCATTTTCATGCTTTTTTTTTAATTATTTTTTTCATTTTTATGTTGGTATGTGGTATCATGAATTTGAAGAATACACAGGTGGAAGGTAATTGATTGGCATTTGATATTCATTATCAGACGTGGCAGATGCTTTTTCTGAGTCACGAAATTGAGATATGAATTGGAAAATTAATTCGCTTTTAATAATTTTTTAACACAAAAGTACAACAATTTATTTTAATGTAATAAAAACAGTTAAATATCAATTAATATTTTATTCTTTCTCTTCTCACGTGCACATTTTTATCTTCAAAATCCTATTAGAAATCATGTAGATGAAACTAAAAACGTCATTGTGGCTGATTCAAGGTTTTTTCATACTGAGTATATATTACCGATTTACCATAACAAAAAGTCAAGTTATAATAATGTTTTTTTATTTTATCCCAAAACTGGATTCAGTTAACATCCTCATTAGGCTTATATAAAAATCTACATAGAATTTCAAGGTATGAACTAGGAAATCCCAAAATTATTCTCTTGAAAGAGGACGACTAAATCAAATAAATGATAAAACCCGTCATGTCTATATAATATTTTAAGCCAAGTTGTTACCTGTAAATGTTTTAGATGAGTGAATTTTTGAAATGGAAAAGAAAGTGACAATGGCCACTTGCAGTTTTGATCAAAATGAGAATAATGAGACCATAAGACTCAATAATGTAAGGCATGTAGCAACACATGGTTGCATACGTAGACATGCTAGGGCCTAAAGTTGAATTGTCTTTATTCGCCGCCCCTTATGTGAGTTGGACGGTCCACATGGCCCCACACATCGATGACATGTCCGCCACCATATCCTTTCAACCATAACAGTGTCAAACATTCTATTGTGCCATGTTATCCCATTAAAATATAGATTTAAATGGGTAAAAGTTAAATTTTTTAACAGCAAATATATGCTTCCTTTGAATGTGAATTGTTAACAAGTCTTACGTGTCTTGCCCATAGTAGGAGGATAAATGTTTAGACTTTAGAGTAGGTTAAGAGCATTCATAACGTTAAGCTTTTTGGTTACAACTTACAACTTTTTTTTCCTTGTTATCATCTGAACAGTCAACACTGACTTGACAATCTAAAACTTTACAATAAATTTTCATTACGCCAAGTGGTATACCGAGCATGAGAACGTTCGTGGTTGAGCTGGCCACGAACAACGGACGTGCACACTACCTCGTTGTTTCGTGGTGGCTTGTTGTCGTTGTCTCTCGTGCTCGGCACAATGGAAACGCACGCCCAATCAACTCGAAGCATTCCATTTGAATGTTGCTATAGCCGTTGAACGGCTAGTTTCTTTAAAAAAAAAAAAAAACTAAACAATTTATTTACCTATAAATACAACATTTTTACTCCTTATTTTTTACACCATTCTTTTCTTTCTCTATACACAAACTACACACTACATCTTCACAACCAAAAATTATGGATCCCAACCAAAATACCCCTCCAAGCTACAGAAATCGCAAACCCGATAACGCTTTTGCGTTAGATACAACACCTCGCCAATTCCCGACTATGGAGTCACCTCAAGGCGGTTTTATCAATCTACTTCAAACCGGTTCTCCTATCCAACAAACACCACTTTTCCAACAACAATATCAACCTTTTCCGACTTTCCAACAACTACAACAACTCCAACAACAATCGTCACAACAACAACAACCACCAAGTTCACAACCATCACTTTCGCCGGATTTTGTTGCTGAAACGCAACCTTCACCACCACCTCAACCAAAAAAGAAAAAAGGAAAAAAAAACCGGTCCGACCCACCACCGCCCAAGAAAGGGTCCCATGGACAAAAGAAGAAGAAGAAAAGTTAGCGAAGGCATGGGTGGCGGCTTCCAAAGATCCAATTGTAGGAGATAGTCAGCCTTACGGAAGTTTTTGGGAGAAAGTCCGAGCCATTTTCTACGAGTTAATGGAAAGTGAAACTCGAAACGCCAATCAAATTACGTCGAAATGGCGAGATATTTGACTAAAATGCACCGAGTTTGGAGGAATCTACAACAACCTCTTAAACATACGCAAAAGCGGCTCGAACGATATAGATTTATATATTCTCTTCTATAGATTTATATTCTTCTTATAGGAACTTCATGGTTTTAATTTATCTTGTTTAGAATTATATTAAATAAGTTAAATTTCACATCAATTGAAAACTGTGTTAGTTTTTGATGACGTGGTGCTGGCATCGTATGATGACGTGATATTTTTTGGTGACATCACTTTATTGGTGTTAAAATTGAAAAATAAAATAAAATGTAATGACTTAGTTGAAAAAAAACACAGTTTCAAAATCAAAAAATTCTAAAAAAACTTAGTGTCTTGTGCAATTTGTCTTTGTTATAACATAATAATCATGACTTGTTGGAGGTTTGATATCCTATGTGGACAAAACAACATAACAAAATTTGTGTCTACACATGTGGTGTCATAATTAGTATACATTTCAATCTCCCACATCGTTGATGCTAAGACCATCTGTTATACCCACCACATACCACATATGTGGTGGATGCCACATCAGCACCACATTCTCCTACCACTAGCATGAGATACCTACCACTAACACATCACTCCACCTCATTTTTTTTATTTAAATTTAATTCAAAAATACATTAAAATCATTTTTTAATACTAGTTTTCCATTAAATTAAAAAGACAAAATTACATTAAATAAAATATCATTAATTGAAAAAAAAATAAAATAAAACTAACAATAAAAATAAAAATTACATTACTTAAAATAAAAAAAAATTCCAACCATAAATAAAATAAACTACCCCATACGCCTACGTCGGGCTCGAACCGACTCTTTCATTGCTTGGAAAAGTTCCAAGTCTTCGCCCTCGAGGTCATCCGCTTTCATTTTCAAGATTTCCATATCGGTTTTTGTTTGGATCGTCGCTTGTGCCTCTTGAAATGATGTTTGTGCTTCGATCATTTTTTGCTCCATCCGAGTCATCACCTCGGCCTTCGTTTCTTGAAGTTGCACATATCGATCAAATTTATCGCCAAACATATCCATAACACTAGAATTCAAAGATGTTGAAGCCGCTTTTTTGCTTTATTTTTTCCAACGGGCCGACGAAGAGGTTGGTCGTTTTAAAGATCTAGCGGATCGTCGTTGATGTCGATGTGTGTTCGGCCGTCCGATTGTTGGGAAGTTGCATCGGGGTTTCTCGAACGCTTTGAACCGGAAGATTGCGAAGTTCCTTCCGTTTGCTCTTTCCATTTTGGGGCGTCTTTCAATTTTAGCCACGGTTTCATATACGGAAAAGCTTTGCGTGTTGGCGTTGTTTTTTCAAATTGCTCCATTGCCGCCTTGAAAACATCAAAATCGTTCGAGCCGCTTTTGCGTATGTTTAGGAGGTTGTTGTAGATTCCTCCAAACTCGGTGCATTTTAGTCGAATATCTCGCCATTTCAACGTAATTTGATCGGCATTTCGAGTTTCACTTTCCATTAACTCGTAGAAAATGGCTCGGACTTTCTCCCAAAAACTTCCGTAAGGCTGACTATCTCCTACAATTGGATCTTCGGAAGCCGCCACCCATGCCTTCGCTAACTTTTCTTCTTCTTCTTTTGTCCATAGGACCCTTTCTTGGGCGGTAGTGGGTCGGGCCGGTTTTTTTTTCCCTTTTTCTTTTTTGGTTGAGGTGGTGGTGAAGGTTGCGTTTCAGCAACAAAATCCGGCGAGAGTGGTGGTTGTTGTTGTTGTGACGATTGTTGTTGAAGTTGTTGTAGTTGTTGGAATTGTTGAAATTGTTGGTATTGTTGTGAAATTTGTTGTTGTTGGAAAGTCGGAAAAGGTTGATATTGTTGTTGGAAAAGTGGTGTTTGTTGGATAGGAGAACCGGTTTGAAGTAGATTGATAAAACCGCCTTGAGGTGACTCCATAGTCGGGAATTGGCGAGGTGTTGTATCTAACGCAAAAACGTTATCGGGTTTGCGATTTCTGTAGTTTGGAGGGGTATTTTGGTTGGGATCCATAATTTTTGGTTGTGAAGATGTAGTGTGTAGTTTCTGTATAGAGAAAGAAAAGAATGGTGTAAAAAATAAGGAGTAAAAATGTTGTATTTATAGGTAAATAAATTGTTTAATTTTTTTTAAAAGAAACTAGCCGTTCAACGGCTATAGCAACGTTCAAATGGAATGCTTCGAGTTGATTGGGCGTGCGTTTCCGTTGTGCCGAGCACGAGAGAGAACGACAACGAGCCACCACGAAACAACGGGGTAGTGTGCAAGCCCGTTGTTCGTGGCCAGCTCAACCACGGACGTCTTCGTGCTCGGTATACCACTTGGCCTAATGTGGGATGCCCTAAAGTTAGTGGACAAAATGAATTCAATGCATTATAAAAATATTTTTGTGTCAACCATTAAACTTTTAAAAACTCAATGCATTGTGGATGCCCTAAACTTAGTGGATGAAATGAAAGATTATATGAAAATAAGTGTTGTTTTGAGCTGTGGATT